CATATAGTCATTTTGTCGAACAGGTTTTGATCAAGTAACAGCGAAAGATCTAAACTCGCGATCAAACCTAGTCAAGAAAGGACTTCTGTGTTTATTCCGAAGGACATCTAAAGTCGATTCCATTGACCTTTTTTTTAAACAGAGAAGAACGAAGAACAAGAATCTTAGCTAAGACTGAGAAAAATGAGACGAGAGTCTGGAAATTACCTTCAAGCGGATCAGTATCAGTCTTCGCCAGCACAAATAGAATCGTCGTGAACAGAATTGTAGCGAGGAATCGCAGTTGCTGTTTGGTTTTCATCGCTAGAATCTCTCTCGACTCCCAGAAATACTGGGTGCTTTATGCAGAGAAGTGATACGTTTAAGCTCCGTCGTCTAACGAAAGGAGAAAAGAAGAAAAGAATGGTGGAATTTTCTCGGACTTTCTCTCGCTTTCCGGGAAAACAACCAGAGAGAAAACTTGGAAGAGAGAAGATCAAAGAAGCGCTTTAGTGAGAGACATGGAACTGAATAAAATGCCAACGCGCGAATATTCCACGTCAGCAAATACAGTTACGGACGTTGGAGTCAACTAGTCAAACTGCTGTGCCACGTGGCCTTTCTTTTTCTACGATTTTCTTAAAATATGATCATATGCTAATATTTGAATAACCTTATTTTCTCTCTTTATACCTTAATCTTCCAATGAGTTTCCTTAGTTATTTTTTGTTCAATTTCATCCTCGAATTCTGCGACAGTTATATTATGAATTCCTTTTCATTGAAATAGTGTTGAGATTAAACAAATTTGTTTATTTTTTCTCCTACTTTAAATAGAACTTGTAAAAAACATACATAGCAATCTGCTCAAGGAGCTATTACAAAACTGAAGCTACTGCTCCACAAAATTGTCTTCATCAGATACAAAATCGAATTGGTTGCTGTATGTTTGAGGCTCATTTGCATTGTTGTGGTCAATACTATATATCTTGATGCATTCTTTATCTCTGCTGACACAGAAACAGTTTCTTCAGGTCTTCCAAATGCTTAGCCCCATCGGGGTGACGGTTTACAAATCTAGTGGCAAAGAACTTGTCAGAGCACACAAGTATAGTACTAACTGCAAGCTTTGGGTCTGCCTTTCCTCGATCTTGAAGCCAAGAGAACATTGCAAATCGAAGCTTCATCCGCTGAAGAGTGTACTTAAGACATGTTGGGAAAGTCACCAATGTCAAAAGCGGATGACCTAATTCGTTTATAAGGTAGTTAACCTTTGATTCTAAGATATCACATGCCTGGGAGAGGATACTAGGACATGCTTTCACCATATCTTTGACATCTTTCTCGGTAAAACCAAAACTCACGAGCACATTAAATCTCTCTCGGAGTTCAGATCCTTTGCCACGGAAATTCTTGAGTGCTCTCTCCATTTCCTCAGAGTTTTCTTTGTATCCGAGGTCTAACAAGAACTGAGTCTTCATTGTTTTCGACTTTGTGTCTACCTTGCATCCAGTAGCTGGTAACGGCTGGACTCTTAACCCCATAATCCATTTTTTCATCTCTTCTGGATTTTCCTGAATGACTTGACAAAGCCGCCCTTTCCCACCTTTCAAATTGATAAGTAAGGTACTGGTTTGCTTCAAACGAGTTACACCAAGCCACGAAGAATGCAAACGGAAAATCTTACCGATTTCATCAGCCTCCATATCAATATCTTTCAGGAACAAGAAGCAATGCCTTAAATTCGAAACAAATTTACCTATACTCTGACTCTGTGGGAATTTCTGAAACAACGAAGAGAGTTCACTTCTGGATGACCCTAGTTTTGCTTCAAACCCAGCTAGAATCATTGTCCATTCCCCTGAATCCTCGAAAATTAGTTTTGGCCGCTTCCTGATTAACTCACGTAGCTCATTCTCATCGACACACATATCTCTGAGAAAACTTAGACACCTATGCATAGAGCTCCAATCATAAGACACCTCCTCTGACAAGTTCTCTGTTACCCAATCGACACCAAAACTAATAGCTTTCAGCATCTCCATGATCTTCGCCAGTCCAACATTCGTATTCCCAATCAAAATACTCGGGCTACAAACGATAAGTTTCGATAGAAACAACTTGCTAAACCCCAAATCCTCATAAGCCTTAATCTTGGAAGCTAAAACCCCGGTTTCATACCCGAAAACTTCCCTAGCTTCCTTAAAGATCTTCCCCATCTTCTCTCTTCCAATTCCATAGTTCCAAAACACATGATAATTCTCCAACAAAAAAGCATCTTCATTCAAAAACATCTTATCACAAGGAATCAAATGACTAAACTCTGACGGCTTCAAACCTAAACTCTCTAAAAAAGGCTCAAATTCATTCACAGGATGAAACCATAGAAACCTAGTAATGGCTTTAACTACATCATCATCATCATCAACATCACAACCATTTAGCTTCTTCAAAAGATTATCATTAAAAACAGGAGCATTCCTACTCATACTCTCAGCAACCAGAAACTGCAAACCTCTCGTTTGATAGAAGTAATCAAACATCGCAACCTGAGCCACTTTACGAATCTCGTTTCGAGTTCTAAGACCCCATTTCTCGCCGGAAACTTCAGCATCGACGAGTGCTCTCTGGGTGGCGAAAGATCTAGGGTTTCCTCCTGAAACTTGGGGTTTAAAAGGGGTTTCTGTAAAAGCTTGTGATACCCAATTGAGAAGACTTTTGAATCTAGGGTTTCGCATAAAAGACATTACTTGTTACACAGACACATGGAAGATTTGCAGAAGATTTGTCTTCGCCGAAGCAAGAGGTATGTTTCTGTATGAAGAAGACGGTTAACAAAAAAAAAATTATAAAATATTTTTTAAGTCAGAAAAATAAATCAAAATCCATTTTTTCCAAACAATATAAAGAAGATTTAAGAAAATTTTATCATTAGAAGAGAGTACAAGATGATTAAGGTCTAGTGCTACAAAAGAGAGTACGCAATTAGTTTGTTTCAACACAAAGATGAAGTTTCTTCAGATCCTCTAAATGCTTAGTCCCATCCGGATGACGGTTTACGAAAAAACTCACGAAAATTTTGTCCGAGCAAGCGAGCATAGTACTAACTTTGATCTTGCGGTCTACTTTCCCTCGGGCTTGAAGCCAAGAGAACATTGCAAATCTGAGCTTCATCCGCTGAAGAGTGAACTTTAAACATGAAGGGAAATCTACCAAAGTCGAATGAGGATAACCTAATTCGTTTATAAGGTAGTTCACCTTTGATTCTAGTATATCACAGGTCTGGGAGAGCATAGTAGGACATGCTTTCACCATATCTTTGACATCTTTCTCGGTAAAACCCAAACTTACGAGGACATTAAATCTCTCTCGGAGTTCAGATCTTTTGCCACGAAAATTCTTGAGTGCACTCTCCATTTCCTCGGAGTTTTCTTTGTATCCGAGGTCTAACAAGAACTGAGTCTTCATTAGTTTCGAGTCTATGTCTACGTTGGTAGCTGGTAGTGGCTGGATTTTTGACCCCATTGTCCATTTTTTCATCTCCTCTGGGCTTTCTTGAATGACCTGACAAACCCGGGTTTTCCCAGCCTTCAAAAATACAAGCAAGCTACTGGTTTTCTTTAACCTACATGAACCAAGCCACCAGGAGTGAGAACGGAAAACCTTATGAATCTCATCATCTTCCATCTCGATCTCTTTCAAGAACAAGAAGCACTGCCTTAGATTCGAAACACATTTCTCTACTTGAATCAGCGGGAATTTTTGAAACAACGAACATAGTTCCCTTCTAGATGACCCGAGTTTTGTTTCAAACCCAACTAGAATCACTGTCCATTTTCCTGAATTCTCAAAAACCAGTCTTGGATACTTCCTGATTAATCCACATAGCTCTTCCTCATCAAAACAGATTTCTCTAAACAACCTTAGAACACGATGCACAGAGCTCCAATCACAAGACCCCTCATCTGACAGGTTCTCCATTACCCAATCAAACTCAAACCCCATGGATTTCAACGTCTTTAAGACCTTAGCAAGTTCAACATTCGTATTCCCAATCAAGATTCTCGGGCTACAAACGATAAGCTTCGATAGAAAATATCTGCTAAACCCCAAATCCTCATACGCCTTAATCTTAGAAGCTAAAACCCCGGTTTCATACCCAAAAACTTCCCTAGCTTCCTTGAAGATCTTCCCAATCTTCTTAGGGTCAACACCACTATAACACAAAACATGATGGTTCTCAAGCAAAAAACCTTCTTCTTCCAAGAAGACCTTATCACAGGGAACCAAATGACTATACTCAGTGGGCTTCAAACCTGAACTCTCAAGAAAAGGCTCGAATTCATTCACCGGGTGAAACCGTAGATATCGGGTAATAGATTGGTTGATATCAGAAGCAGTAACACAATCAACTTTCTTCAAAAGATTATCAATAAACATTGGACTGTTCTTGCTCATACTCTCAGCAACCATATACTGCAAACCCCTAGTGGAATAGAAGTAATCCAACATTGCTTCCTCAGCTAATTTCCTAATTGTGGGAGTGATTCTAAACCCATTTCGGGTTCTCTTCACATTCAATTTCTCACTGGAAACTTCGTTACCGGTGACGGTGGCGAAAGATCTAGGGTTTTGGGTACGTCGGAGGAGAAATTCAGTTCCAGAAATTGGGGGTTTTAAATGGGTTTCTAGAGAAAGTTGTGATACCCATTTGAGCAGAGACGTGAATCTACTAGGGTTTTGCAGAAGTTTCATTGCCTAGGTGTGAGGAAATCAAAAGCTTTTACCTTTGAATCTTTTGCGAGTCTCGGAGCTCAAGTCGCTGCACTTCTTTTGCCATCTTCAAGGATCTTTTGCCATCTCCGGCGGAGACGAAGACGACAGGTGAACATAAAAGAAAAGGCTTCTTACAAGTAGTCAAGCCCAACAGGCCCACTATTTTATGAGTTTCTTTGACCAGCACAATAAGGACATCAATTTAATTGAGAAACTGAATATTAATTCAAAGTAGAAATGATTAAGAAAGCAAAAGGATTAAAAGGTGGGGTTTCTAATGCACAATGTTAAAAAGCTATCTCTTTGTGTGAGTTTTTTAAACACAAAATAGTTAAGAAGAATAATCTCACACATCTATTATTAGTCTATGCCTCACACACCACTTGCTCACATTTAGTACCTGATTCTGTTCTCAAGTGTTAGTGTGTGTAGCAGCACTTTGGACATTCTCTTGTCGCGACTCTTATAACTTTACACCACTTTGAATAGAGTAGAAACATGCTTTAGGCCTTTTCTATTTAGCCATTACTCTCTCATTTTTTCAACTTATCTTTGACTGGAGTTGAGTGTCTTCATAACTTGTTAGCATCAAGGCTTCAGTGTCTTGTACCAAGAAAGGCGAAGGAGGAGAGTCATCGGAAGCGAGAAGACACAATGATGCTTCAGCGTCTGGTGGCTTTAGAAGACTCTTTTTCGTTTTTTGTTGTTGTTCCATCATCATTTTCAGTTGTTTCCCTTGTTCTTCGATTCTTAGTTGTAGGTTTCGTTGAATCTAAAGATACAAGATGAGCGTGGTTCATTAAAAAAATATATGTAGATAATCGTTAAAAGTGAGGATATATATATATATATATAACAATCTCAAAACTATAAAACCAATTCATTTTGTCTTAAAAATAAGTTTTGATGTTAAAACCAAAAAAAACAAAGTTTTGAATCACTAAATGCCATAATTAATGTAACATTATATTGGGTTGTATTTACTTGGTATAATCTTAATTATACAGTATAGTAAAGTAAGGTATATATATAGTTACATTTTGTAACTTACCTCTAGTTGTTCATGAAGATGCCTCTGAACATCTAGTTGAAGCTGAAGTGCCTCTTTAATTTGCACTCCACTGCCTCCATAACATTGAAAAGAAATCATTAACAAGTCATAATTTATTATTTTTGAATAACGTTAATCGCATCGCGTTGCTATTGCTACGCTAAGCCATTTGGTCACTAACTTTAATTTGGATTTATATGGAGGAGAAATAGAGGGGTAGTTAGTTAGTACTAAACAAAAATATTATTCTTGGCAGAAAAAAAAAAAAGAAGAGAAACGTACGTTCTTGTGTCAAGCTGAGACAGCTCTTTCGCACAAGCTCTTTTCTCAAACTTGCCTGCAACACAAAACTCTTTCGATTTGTGTTATTCCCAACTTATATTTTTATCAAAAGAAAAATTAGTGCAGAGATTTATTAGTGTACCTTCTTGAGACTCGGGCATGTATTTCGCAATTCTATACTTCTGCAATTTAAAAGCCAAAAACTATTTAAATAAAATCTTCTCTTGAATATAAAAACATGACAAGAGAGTAGAATTAAGTAACCGTAACCTGTAAGTGGCTTTTAACATGAAATATTGTGAGTCCATCAGAATCCATCAACTTCAATATCGCCTTGGGCGTTGCCTCTGCATAGTTTTCCACCACTTACACTTTTTAGTGACCCACCAAAGAAACAAGGACACTTTTGTCCTTAAAACAATTACAAAATTACTTTTATTGAAATAATGCAGATACATATATCCAAATAATGCAGCATAATTTCTTCAAAAGAAGAAAGTTTTAAATCCACATGCGCATAAGATGACTTTTGATTTGATCTCATGCAATAATATTCTATCCATCCTATTATTCATGACCGTTCATGATTTATATGCATATCTAACAACTTTTTTGGGGTAACCAAGAAGTTCTAGGTTTTAGTGACTTCTTGAGACCGAAGACCAAAGCAAGTTCAATTGGTCCCACTATTGTAGCATGTACTAGGTAATATGACTTTATGCTAAACCAAAGTGACTAGCTAGATAAAATGGTTGAGAACATCTTGTATTGGTTTTGACTTACTATCAGCACCACCAATGCGATTAACGCACTCCACAAACTTCTCATGAAGATCTTGAGTCCATCTTATCCGTGTCTTGTTCACACAGTTAGGAGCCACCGACCCTCCATGGGTTGAGAATGAAGGAGGAGAAGAAAATCTTGGATGATTTTGTTTAGGTTGTAATGATGAGAAATTCAGATGTGTTACATTAGAACTACTATAGGTCCTCCTGCATAGTTCCTACCGAAAACATTTAAAAATCATCAAGTAGCTAGAATCATATTTCTATTTAAAAAAAATGATAAGAAAAAAAAGTAATTAAAGAAATTTTTTTTGGCATACTTGTGGATCATGATTTGCTTCAAAAGAAAGCGAGTATGAGGCTGATGATGCATTTGTTGCGGCGAAATCATTCGCGCATGATCTTTGATAGAATGGTTTCAAATATTGATCCGGAAGAGGCTGCATAGGAAGCATCGATACAGATTGGTCTAATGATGGAGGATCAGAAGATTGATGATGGTACGGATGAAACGAGGAAGGGTAGGGTTTTGAAGATGAACATTGTACGGGAAAAGATTGATTGGCAGTGCAATCGTACGGAGAAAGACCAGAGAAGGTTTCGGTAGTCCAAGGAGATGGTGGTTGATTGTATTGAATCATATTCAAATCTTGTAAATTAAACGGCTGCGACTGTAGCCGGCTTTCTTGTGAAGCGTTTGAGAATTCAAAGTTGATGTTATCCATCAAATAACAAGCATGAAAGACACAAATTGCCACAGAAACATATGATTTTGTTGTAAGTTCAATGATATATTGAACGGAGGGAAAAAAAAAGTTTGAAGTTGAAAAAAAACAGATTCGATTCAACCAAAAAAAAAAATCTAAAGTGTTTTGTTTTTTGGGTTTTCTTGAATCTCTCTACATTCCTCCAAAGTCTTCAGGTGCAAGATAGGGATGAGTATTGATATAAGGCAATGCCTTTTCTTTTGATTATTCTCAAAATGGATAGGAGTGCGCAATTTTTAATTATCCAATGGCCATAATTGCAAAAGTCCAAAATTCTTATTTCATTAAGAAATACTTTTATAAGAAGTAAAATCCCACTTGGTTAGACCTTGTCGTTATTCTTCTTCATTTGTAGAAATCAGCAGAAACATTAGAAAAGAGTTTGTTCACAAAAATAGTAAAGATTGCACGGAAATCGATTTTAGTACCACTAGTTCATTTAAAACCCTAACGGATCCTGTTAACCATGCATACATATTAGCATAAAATACAGTTTAAAGTTTTATATGAGATTTTGTTATATATTATTCCTCTGTTCCAAATTATAGGATGTTTAAGCCTTTTTTTCTTGTTCCACAATATAAGATTTTTTCAGATTTTTATGCATAATTTATGTTTATTTAGTTTATTTATGACCTTTTGAATTCTGCTGTCCTTTTTTCTACTGGTTAAATTTTTATAAATAAATAAACATTTATTACTTCTTAATTTTTGTGCTTTTAACAAAAGCATCTTATAATTTGGAACAGAGGGAGTATTAGATTTAACGTCTATAAAATATTTTAAGAAATTAATACAACCACATTGACAGTTCCAAATATTGATATAAAGTATACTTCATGCGTATTAGATAAAGTGATTTTTTAGTTTAAAATAATAGTTTCATTTTAAATGATGTTTTACATTTTAACGTAAAATAATTACTTTTATTGTTATGACTTGTTTATTATGCATTATATTATTGATTGAGTTAATTACCAAAAAAAAAAATATTATTGATTGAGTTAAAATAAAAAATAGTAAATTTTTAATATATGTGCAAAATTTTAAAATATTTTTTTAATTTTAATACAGAAAGATTATATATTAAATTTTTAATAACTCAATGACATTGCCCAGTCAAAATGAACTCGCATTAACAAAACTAAAAGTTGATTGGGTTTCGGATACACTTGAATCACAGAATATAAAACAATAATATGAAATTATTAATATCTCAATGCCCAATCAAAATGAACTTGCGTTTGTAAAAATTATATTTTCTTTTACCTAAGATATGGTAGAATATTTATTACATGAGCATCATTTCTTAAAAATGTAATTATAATGGCGATTCTCAGCATAAATTTCATTCATTTTTTTAGGCGCATGAATTTGGTAGTCTAAAAGACATATCAAATTATTCTGGATAGGATGCATAAAAATAGCTTTCCATCTTCCAAAAGTTTTGTTTGGTCCAATGCAACTTCGTTATCTTCTTCTTCTTCTTAGTTTTGGTTGAATTATTCATTACTTTGACATTATATTATTTATTATTTGCGCCAATAACATTTTATATTTTAAAAAAAAATCATTGAAGAGATTCAAATTCCACTTCCAAAAGTTGCTTAGAGGCAAACCACATTCCGCACCCAAAAACAATTTAAATTATTTAAACTACTATAGGTAAGAGACCACACAAAATATAGAGCAGTATCGAATTCCATTCCATATTGCAAACATATATATTTTTTTTGTTGATAATTTTACATACATTCAGTTTTTGTTCAGGCATAAGCTATCTTATCTAATCAGTATTGGTGGTTGATGTTAATCATCCCATGAACGCATTAATCAGAAGAAGGCGTTGTCGTTACTCTTAAAAAAAAAAAAAAAAAAAGAGGCGTTGTCGTTTAACAAAAGGTATCTCTATTTTTTTTTTGAACTAAAACAAAAGATATCTCTATGAATTTGTTTACAAGAAAAATTCAAAGGTATACTAATTTGACGTGAACAATTTTTTATACGTGAATTCTGCAAGTGGGAAATAAGTTTTTTAATTACTTTAAAGGAAAAGATTACATGGTTTGCTTTAAAAAAAAAATCATGGTTTTCTATAAATTCAAGACTCTAAGAAATAAGTATGAACTTCTGTTCGAAATCTCAGTAGTATCGTCTTAATCTATATAAAGGCCTTTGGTAAAACTAAAATTTAAAAAAAAATCTTTTAATAAATTTTTTAAAAAAAACATTGGATTTTTTTTCTTCACTAAATTTTTTGAAAATGGCATTAGATCCATGAAAAATACCTATGTTGCCATAGGGTAGAGACGGGCCTGAATTATCTCACGATTCTTTTTTGAAAACAAACGCTTCATAAATCCCTACAAAAAAAAAAAAAACGCTTCATAAATTAAATGGCCGATGTTTATTTTTCTGTTTGTCATTGTCTTACTGAACACATACTTTCTATTAAAAGAAATACAGATAAGACAATTTATAAATCTGTGTAGTAAGCAAAATTAAAAGGATGACTCTCAAAAATACAAAAGTTTTCGTTTCTTTTTCAAAATTACCATAAATATTACAAAATTCCAAAGGTACAAAAGATTGTATGTTTAAGGGGTTACTAAAAGTTTAGATTATAGTCGTTATAATGATTTATTTAGTAGTTTCTAAACTTTTGAAATTCGCCTATCAAATTAAAAATATTGTATCTTAAAACCTAAAACAATACAATTAAAACTCTGCGCGTAACAACTCAATCTATTCAAAACAAGGTGTCATACATTGAATTGTGACTATCTAATTACGAGGACTTGGTAGATTCTCTCTCGTTGTAAAATTTCTGATGGTTATTTCTTTTAAATAAGTTTTTTAAAGTTTGGTATTTGAAATAACACAAGGTGGACCTCTAATTAATGTTACAATTTAAAATGAAAGCCACAGTGGAACAACTGTAAGATTCCCCCTACGTGTTAAAATAATGTCCAATACTATTCTTACAAGTTGCTTTTTTCATTTTTTTTTTAACCACACATTAATTAAAAATTTTTTTGGTTAGTTACCTAATTAAGAAGAGAAATATTTATCAAAATAGTTTCAAAAAATAAAAGTTTAGAAGAACGGTTAAGCATCCCGCTTTAAAATTACATGAACGAAATTCCTCACTTTTTTTAAATTAAAAAAAAAAACCATTTCTTTAGATAGGTCTTGTTTTTTTTTTTCTCTACTTAAGCATATTTCTTAATTTCGTTTTATAAATTAGACTATATTCGTCTTCACCAGTCACAGATGGCCCCTGACGCGTGGCGACATTACAAATTGATGAAATTTTAAATTTAATCTTTTTTATTTTTTAATTAAAGTCCGATATCGAGGTTTTATTTGTGTAAATATTATTCTTTGTTGGCAAAGATTGTAATTTATTATTTGTTTCTGATAGCAGAGACAAATTTCGATAGGCTTTTTTTTTTTTTTTTTTTTTTTGTCATCTGTAATTAAATATTACTCAAAAGAGCCATTCTTGTGGAATGTTGTTTACATAAGTGATATGAAGCGGTTCCGTACGAATTTTTCGTGCCAGATTATCCGCTTTTGCATTTGCACAACGAGAAATTAAAGATAAAGAGAAGGTAGAGAACTCTTCCTTGTCGCTCTGAAATTCCTCCAGATACACTGAGAAGGCCGGCCATTCGGTTGGGGAAGACACCATCTTCACCAGGTCAGAACAGTCTGTAAGGAATGCTACCTCTTGATTATCTGCACCAATCATACACTTCATCGCCCAAAGGAGGGCCTCGAATTCGGCATGTAGCGGAGATAGGCTTCTACGGAGGTTGGCAGCTCCCATTGTTGATGGCTCACCGTTTGATGGTGTACAAAACCACCCTATCCCGGAAAACTTGTCGCTGTCTTTCCAGGATCCATCCACAAAACAACGGTATCCTGTAAAATCCGAATCTAGGGACACCCCCCTCGTTTGAGGCCGATTTGGAAATTCCACTGAAGCCTGAGTTTCAGTATGAAGCTCCACTTGAGCTGAGTGCCACAATTGTGCCTCTCTTTCCGCTAACCGTAAAACCTCTAACGGATCGTTATCCACATTTTCAAACAATTTTTCATTCCGTGCTTTCCAAATATACCAAATAATCCAAGGAAAAGCTATAGAATCAAACTCCGATGGTATTCTCCAAAATAAATGATCCAAGTTTGCATAAATAGAATCTGTGGGAAAAGTCCCCATAACCGTAGGAATCTGAGAAAGTGCCCAAACCTGTCTTGCAGGATGGCACTGAAAGAGTGTGTGATTGACTGTTTCCTCCAGTGCACCACATCTAGCACAACCAGTGTCACAATCAATTCCTCTTTTTCGTAAGTTCTCTGTAACCGGTACACAACCCGTTAAGATTTGCCATAAAAAATGACGTATCCTAGGTGGACACTGTACTTTCCAAGTATGAGCCTTTAGCTTATTGAAATCTGGTCCAATGAAAGATGAGTTGGTTTCCAACTTATCCAACCGTGCGGTATGATACCCCGACTTAACTGAATATTTGCCGGATTTTGTAAAATGCCAACCCAAAGTGTCCTCCTTGGTTGGCGCACCCACCGGTAGGGCACTTATTAACTCGACATCTTCCTGGTCAAAGACCGCTTTGAGGAGATCAATGTCCCAAAAATTAGATCGACTATCTATAAGCATGTTAACTTTTAAAGATGGGTCATTAATAGATCCATTACTTTTTGCTGGTCTCGGGAATTGAGCTGGAATCCACGGATCCTCCCAAACTGAGATGGAATTCCCAGATCCGACTCTTTTAATAAGTCCTTTATTTACCAGAGATCTAGCTGAGCATATACTCCGCCACCCATACGATGGGGAATATGACTTTATATTTTCCAAAGGATTGGATTTCCTATAATACCGCCCTTTAAAAACCCTCGCAAAGAGAGAATCCGGAACCGTGATCAACCGCCACAACTGTTTTGCAAGTAAGGCCGAAATAAAATCATCGACGTTTCGAAATCCTATCCCTCCTTCCGATTTATTAATACATAATTTATCCCAAGCCATCCAATGCATACCTCTGGAGGCACCATTCGAGCTCCACCAGAAATTAGCAACCGCACTAGTGAGTTTAGATGTGATTGTTTTCGGTAGTCTGAAGCACGACATAACATAAGTTGGTAATGCCGCAGCTACCGATTTAATCATCACTTCTTTCCCACCTTTTGATAAAAATTTTGCCGACCATCCGTTAATCCTTGTCTGTAACCTGTCTCTAACAAAAGAGAAAATTTTTGTTTTTGAACCACCGAGACTTTCTGGCAACCCAAGATATGAACCCATACCACCAATATTAGAGATACCTAAGGTAGATTTGATATCTTCCTTCACACCGTCATCTACCTTATGCCCAAACTGGATCGAAGATTTGGAATAATTTATTTGTTGTCCCGAGACCGCTTCATATTGCTTTAAGATCCCCAAGATTACCCCACACTGATCCTTGTTAGCCTTACAAAAAAATAGACTATCATCCGCAAAAAGCAGGTGAGAAACCGATGGGCTTGCAGTTGCCACCTTGATACCCGTAATTAATTTATCCCGTTCTGCTTTCCGTATGTTCGCAATTAATACTTCAGTACAAAGAATAAATAGATAAGGAGACAGCGGATCTCCTTGCCGTAAACCCCTCTCTGGTACTATTAGTCCTCGAGGTTGTCCATTAAGAAGAACCCTATATTGGACAGTACTGATACACCACATTATCCAACTAATCCATTTTTCACAAAACCCCAGTTTGGTTAAAACTTTTTCAACGAACATCCATTCCACTCTATCATAAGCCTTACTCATGTCAGTTTTAATTGCCACGAATTTTCCTTTACATGATAGGTTAGTTCGTAACCCATGGAACATCTCTTGTGCAATAAGAATGTTATCCGAAATTAACCGTCCTTCTACAAAAGCTGATTGTGTTTCCGAGATCAGTTTTGGTAGTACTGTCTTTAGTCTTTGGCAAAGAATCTTTGATATAATCTTGTAACCAACATTGCAGAGACTAATAGGTCGTAGTTCCGTCATCCGAGTCGGTCTTTCCGTTTTTGGAATAAGACAAATATTTGTCGTATTTAACCGTTTGTCAAAATTCCCATCCTCTAAAAAAGAATTAACCAAACATAAAAGATCTACTTTAATGGTAGCCCATGCTTTCTGAAAAAACAAAGCCGTCATACCATCTGGCCCCGGTGCCTTCTCCGGGTGCATCATAAAAAGTGCTGCTCTCACTTCACCCTCTGTTGCCGGGGCTATTAAAAAATCATTATTCTGATCCGTGATCAGACTTTGTACTTCTTCCAATGCATCCTCAAAAACCTCAGGTTTTGTTATAGTGAATAAAGTCTTAAAGTAGGAAACCGCTATATTTTGAACCTCTTTATCTTCCGTTAACCATGTCCCATTCTCATCATGTAAACCCGTGATTCGATTCCTCGCCCGTCTCTGCTTCGTTAAAGCGTGAAAATATTTTGAGTTATTGTCCCCTAATTGCATCAAAGAGCTTCTGCTTTTCTGGTGCCAGTACAATTCCTCGTCCCGATAGGCCTCCTTCAGCCGTAATGTTAAATCCGTAATTTCTTCCCGTGATCGCCTATCGTCTCTTTGCGCCGCATATAGTTCCGATTTTAAATCTTCAATTGTTTGCCGACCATAGGGAGTCAACTGTCGTCGCCATTGCGAAATAGCTCGCCATTGCGAAATTTCGATAGGCTTTTGTTAAGGGCAATTTTTGAAGAAACTTGACCTTAATTTGAAGCTCTAAAAAAGATCATTAAAATAAAAGAACGATCTGCAGCCGGAAGTTATAATAAAATAAGCAATACCCTTAACCTATAAAAATATTTCAAATACCGTTCCGAATCTCCACATATGAACGAACGTATCATAAATCTTAAAAACACATCATATCTTTTCTTAAATATTTTTGTCCGTTTAGGGTCAAAAAACAAATTATGAACATCATGTCGTATATTTCTAACAGTTTTGGTTTATCAATAATATGTATTATGCGGTTTGATTTTGCATCTAAACGATATTACACAAATCACTAAACTACATATTTATTCCACCCTACATCTTGTAAACACTCAAGGAAATTTTTACCAAAAAAAAAAACACTTAAGGAAACTGCTAAAACCATTTGTCTGTATCACCATTAATTATTACCATTAAAAGATTTATTTGATCCTAATGAATTTGTAGATTCATCAATTAGTGTTTAAGACTGATTCAGAAAATTGATAAATTGGATGTTATCGTTACTTCGTTAGAGACTTGAGTACAAAGATAAAATCAAAGCTCATATGTTATGAATGTCCAGAAGCGAGAGATGTAAAATTTCTTTTGAATTGATCCTTAATTTTGATGGGCTCAAAGGCGTTAAGTAAAGCCCATATTATAAAAGTGTTTCTCTTTCTCCGTTGGCTCGTGACAAAAAGTCTCCATGATTGAGAGGACTCGCTGGATTTTTAATTCTTTTTTCTACTCTTGAATATCAAAAGTCGTGTCACCGCAAAACTTACTTAACGTAATGACCTTTTCCAAAAAAATGCAGGTCGAGTCCTTTACTATTTTATCTAGTCTCGTCAGAAGCTGTTCCGCTTTGTTTATCCATATGGTCAAGAGAAGAAACAAGAAAATAAAGTGCATATGTAACCCTAATTATCAACTTTGGTACATATCTTAATACGAGGTTACTATGTAAATATCGTTTTAACTATAGCTCGTCTACTTATTTTGTTTCCCTTGGGGTATCTCAGTAACTTAATTGATTGTAGAGATTGGTTTTTTAACCTAAAAAAAAAAACAAAAACAAATAGGTTTTGATTTTTGAACATATAAACAGACGGAAAGTAGATACATAAAGAAAAGAAAAAAAAATCCAAATATTTTGAAATATAGGAAGCGGGGTCGTGGATTTTTTTTCTGGCAGTGGATTGGTATGGTCATAGACTCGATATGGGGATCCTAGGGATTTGTTTTTGGGCATAAAAGTGCTGTACAAATTTCATGTGGTCTAAGATTCGTCATCCACTTTTATAATATCCGTTTGAATGTTTGGTAAAGTAGTTAGGTTTGTTATTCGATGCTAGTATTACATACTTGGTGTTACACACCAATGACCAAACTGTGGATCAATTAAACCAAAATGATGGATTTGGTTTCACTCTAATTGATTTCATTTTGTTGTTGAAATCTGCAATCTAATCAGTGGTAAAATGTGTTCACGCATAAAAATTCTTCATCATTTGATTATTTAAAAAGAGTACAGAAGCAAAGATCAGTGTCAGAAGAGTAATATCATCAGTTATTTGAATCTAAAGTCACTTCTTCTTTCTTTCAAATCTGAGATTTTCCTAGTATTCGGTAAACATGTCAGATTAAGTGGGGCCACACACACCATCCCGACCACAATTAAACTCTCCAAAGTAGAGTGGCAATGGCATCCCATTAAATTGTCCAAAAGTATAAGGGTACTTCAGTAAAACCTTTCTTCATAATATTTGATGTTCAACTATAGTATTAAAGCCCTTCCCTAGCCAAAGATTTTGTAACGAGAGAAAGAGAGAGAATGGTAATGCCACCACTTAAATCAACATCTTCTATGTCTTCTTCTCAATGTTCATCTTCTTCTTCACCAACCTCAAGCTCCATAAAACTCAAATCTCTAATCCAAACTCTCATCATTTCTCAAGTTTGTCGGCTAATCCGAGAAATTTCTAGAGCTACATCCATTATTGTTAGAGTCTTGAGAAAGAAGCAATACAATTTCTTGTCAGTGTCTTCTTTACTCTATCCAAAGAGAGTCTCTAAGAAACAAAAGAATAATATATTATTCGGCTCCTTCAGACTTCACTACAACTTTTGCTCCTCTCACGTAGTGCCTGTCTCTGCACCAGTTCGGCTCCCGGAAGAGCTTTACTTGGCTCATCTCGGATATGACTCTACTTGGGAGTCAATGTATTCAACGGATTCGATGGATAATCGCGATGATGATGATGGTGATATTCAAGAACCATCTCAGCTCTCCAGTTATCTAAGACAGCTAGAGGATAAAGTTAAAGATGGTCAAGAAGAAGATAAAGAGATGATGATGAACGAGATTGATAAATTGGCTGATATGTTTATAGCAAATTGTCATGAGAAGTTCATGTTGGAGAAGGTTGATTCATATAGGAGATCCCAAGAAACGCTGAATAGAAGCAGTTGATAATGATGATGAAGTGGCCTAATTTGTATCTTTCATTTCTTTTTATGTAATCCCACTTTTTCCTTCTTCTTTTTTTTTTTTCTTTTGAATTTGTTCAAAATTCTCTGAAAATGAGTATTGGAAGCATAGGGGATGGATTGTGTGGTGCTTGTTGTGTTACAATCTGATGATGATGATATTGATGGTGGTGGTTTATAAACTAGAATAGACAGTCCAAAAAGGAAAAGAGAGGATGCAAATGGAATGGATTTTAGTAACTTTGGCTTTTGTGGTTTAAGTTCTTTTGCTACTATAGATCTTCTGATATTGTTGTTTACTTTTGTTTGTTGTACAACGCGGGACCAAAAGATTTCGATTTTTAATTTCATTATCTGACTTTTCTATGTTCCAATTTGATCTCTCTTGAAATGTTTATTTTGTAATTAGTAGTTATCTTATGGGAACATTTTGCTTTAAAACAAGTAATCGATTTAGTTGCCAGTCTATTAATTTTGTACATCAAATTTTACCACCAGTTTTAAAAAGTAAAATTACATGATCTTATTTCTCATCTAAAAAGACTATAGGACAAGGTCCAAAACTTCTCTGACTATAACCAAAAAAAAACTTCTTATCAATAAACATAATTTACTTTCAATATTTAGTGCCATAAAAAGCTGAAGGTAGAAACAATTTGCATATTGAAAATGAGTTAACTGACTCCAATGGAGTTGCTTTAAAAAAATACTCTCTCCATCCCACAAAGATAAAATATTTAGGAATTTCGCATTCTTTAAAAAATAATGTATAATAACAATTTTAACATTTTAACACATTTTAAATATTATATAATTTATTTCTATCTATACCAGAAAAAAAAAAAACTTGTATACTTCAAATTTTCATTTAACACTTTGGGACTTTGGGCCATACAGGCCTCTATTATCATAAAAATAGGCCCAAAAAGAAATTAAACAAAGACGCGTCGTCTTGTCTTGAGCTGCTTCCGACCAAACTAAGGTTTCTCTCTCCTTCAACTTGGAACTTCCGGTCGTCGATCTTCTCCCTTTCTCTCTCTCTCTCTCTCACTGTGCCCAGCCAGGTAAAAACACTGCACTTCCGCTTTTTCAAGATCAATCTCTATCTCTATTCATAAAAAAGTTCTTTCCTTTTTGTCAAATTCTTTCAATTTCTCACTTGAATTCCCTACGAATTACTCTCACTTCGGATCCAATCAGCTCTTTATAGCCTCTGCGTTTGGGAGTCAATCTTTCTCTCTTCGATAATTAAGGGTTTCGTACAAAGATTGCGGTTTTACGACAGGATTCTGTGTAAGGAGGTATGTTAATCTCTGTTTTCGTACTTACTTTGAGCGATTTACCTTTTGTCCATTGAGAGATCTAACAGTTCTAGGGTTTGATATAGCACTGAAGTTTTTTTAAAAAGGGTTTTAAGAAATTGTTCTCTTTCTTAGGGTTTAAGATATTCTTCTGTTTTCTTATTCTATAAATTGAAGTTATCTAATTTCTTGATACAATGTGTTATCAATAAGCTCCTACATTCTCTCCTGAGGCCTCCACTGTCAAAAATATTCATAAATCTGATTAGTGCTAATTGTGTTAGTGAATTATCTGGTTTGATTACATTTCAGAAGAAGGTATACAAGAAGGGCTAGTTTCATTTGGATGGAAAGTATATGGTAGGTTTACGCATTAATATGGAAGCGCAGATTCATATACTTGAGCAGGAAGCTTATTCTGCTGTATTAAGGGCTTTTCAAGCACAGGCTGATGAATTTTCTTGGGTAAGTCCTCTCTCTTCCTTTTGCCTTGAAAAGTTTATTGTTAATTCGTCATGAACAAAGGATTTGGCTTATATGATCCCATTTTATAGGATAAACAAGATGTGATGACAAACCTACGTAAAGAATTGAGGATATCTGATGATGAAAACCGAGAACTGTTGAACAATCTTCATAATGGTGATCTTATCAAAAGAATAAGGTAACAACTCTGATCATTTGTGATAGTAAAGATAATGTTCTAGATTACTCTGTATCTTGTAAGAATGTTGTTGTATGATGGAACTGGACCAACAGAGATTCGAGACCTAGAGGTGGAAACCAGGTTGTTAGACATCAATCCCTCGATGTTCTTCCTAGTCCGACCTTTTCAGCTTCTCGGAAGAAGCAGAAGACGTTCCAATCCGTAAGACTTCTTGTTTTAATCTTTCGTCATAGAACAATCAGAGGATATCTGTATTTGCATTTGTGTTTGTGTTATTTACTGATCATTATCATTTGTGATACACATGCAGTATCCGTCGATTGGTTCTACTAGAAATAAGTCGTTCAATAACCGTGTAGTAACTGCAAATGAACCCGCTGAAGCTCTTATTGGAAGAAAAGTGTGGACAAAATGGCCTGATGACAACAGCTTTTATGAAGCAGTAGTGACACAATACAATGCATATGAGGTAACTTCTGATCGCTGGGACCTTCATATTGAGATTGAATCAGAATATCAGAAAACATCTAGTCATGTGTTCAACGGTATATATGTATGTGTTTCGAGGTGTCTCCTGTACTTCAAACGTCATAATCCTCAAATTTCCAAACTTATCAGTAACTAGTTGTGTTCCTCATAGATGATTTTTATATCTGACTCCAAGGCTTCAAAGCCTGATCAAAATTTACCAGTTTAGCTCAGAGTTAGTCTAGTGAAGGAGCATTGCAATTACTTTAGGTTGATTGTAACTCTGTAGACTTCTCAACAACTATAGTCGAATCTCTTAGCTAGAGAGCTCACAAGTTAAAAGGAAGTTTAGGCACAATGAGCCGGGGTACTCTGGGTTGGTCTAGGATCATGGTTTGGGCACTGGTCCAAAGACTTCTTCTCTAGTTAATCAAGTCTCTCTTTAGTGTAGTTCTTGATGAATTAAAAAAAAGGAGGTGTTTACTGATTTGAATCCTATAATGGTGCACATGAGCCTTGAAAAGTATACCATGACTTTGAATTATCTAAAAGTTTGGAATGGTATTTAACAATGAACATAGCTTAAATATTTTGTAACTAATGCACTCATTGTTTTCGCTTGCAGGGTCGACATGCGTTGGTATATGACATAAACACAGCAAATGAGACATGGGAATGGGTTGATCTTAAGGAGGTAATCTTCACAAGTTTTTGATATTATTAGGCGTTAAGTTTTTCTTGAAAATGCTGCCAAGAATATCTTTTGGGAAAGATATATTTCTTTTTGGAGGTAGCTTTCATTAGTAAAACTACATGGGAAACATTTTCTATTGTGTACCCACCTAGTATGTTACCATTTTTAGCAGAATGTGAAGTAAGTTAGTTATATAATTGCAGATTCCACCGGAAGATATAAGATGGGATGGAGAGGAGAATGGGGTAACTTTGAATGTAGGACATGGCGGTGGAACAACCCGTGGGAATCGAAGAACCTTAAGCCATGGTGGTAGAGGGAGAGGTCCAAGAACTCAGCCAAGAAGAGAACATTTAGCAATGGAAAACGGTGGTGGGAGGAAGTTTTTCGATGAGATTGAATTGTTCAACACAGACTCACTCGTGAAAGAGGTTGGTATCTCTATCTCGGCAGTATGTTTCTCTTTAGGCAAAAAGGGTTTCTGATGTCGAAATCTTTCACATTAGGTGGAGAGAGTTTTTGATTCTAACCTTCCTGATCCACATGAGCTTGATAAGGCCAAGAAACTACTCAAGGTGAGAGATATGATAAGAACTTTGTGATGTGATATCGATTGAAAGAAGCAGTTAAGTGAAACTTGGTGGTGTTATTGGATGATACAGGAACATGAACAAGCGCTTATTGCTGCCATTGCAAGGCTTGCAGATGCTTCTGATTACGAAACCGGTAATAAATATTAACAGAGACCTTTGTTTATTCTATTTTACACATCCAAATCACATTGTGTCAGAACGGTCATGTAACTAAGATCACTAACAACAACATAATTTGACAAGGCTATTGATCATCAAGACCAATTCTGTTAAATTTTTAACTTGGTTTTGTGTGTTGCTGGTGAACCAGATGGAGAAGAACCGTATTCGCATGAGCTTCCAATGCTGCTGGGATGACACTAGATCAAAAAACACCATCAACCCTAGGAAAAATGACCAGCAATATTTCTTTTTTCTTTTTATTCTGCTATGCTTTAAGCCTAAGGGATCCTAGAAAAGGATTTTGTTCATATATGATAAACATTAGTATTCTTTTAAGTTGTGGTTTCAGATGTATGATATATATTCGTTAGGAATTTTGTTTGTAAAAACACAATATATTCTTTTTGAAATTTCTGAAGCTGTGTGACCATCATCAGGCTTGCCATCAAGATCGTTAATAATTAATTGCTCGAAGCCCCAATTCTTGTCTAAACTATGTAAAAGAATCAAACCAAGCCTGTTAAATTATCGATAAGGGGCTTTGAACATAACATTCAAATTCTGATTCATTTAGCAAGAATAAGGTAGAAAGTGAGATCAACATAATGACTCCTTCAAATTTTAAAATATTTCAGTGGTATAAGAACGGTTAACACTAAATTAGTATCAGGCTTGTCGACCCAACTGATGTTAGAAAAAAAAAGAAATATTGTTACAATTACATCTTAATGGCAATTTGACATTTACATATTTTAGTTGATAACTAAATAAATTACTGTGATTTGTTACTCAGATTATATGTTCCCTATTTTTTGGATATATTATATCAGAAATTCTTTTAGTACTTTTTATAAATTAATGCGATTATGATAAAATTTTAAAACTCGCCAAACTTAACGATATTTTTTCTATTTTTGAAACGGTGAGACATGCATCTATATTATTAATTGGGAATCACTAAATATTAAATAACATTATGAAGAGTAAAATATTACAAAAAAATGCCGTTGGTTTTTAGTGTTTTCAAATAACTTCATTAAGGGTACAATAGTAATCACAAAATTAATATATTTAAATGAAAATAGTTTAATTCTTTTAAATAATTATTAATTTCCAAAAAAATAAACTAATTTTCTCTCTCTTATTAATTATACACGAAAATTTGAAATTAATTTTTAAAAAATTGTTAACCAATAAGAATTGAAAAACTAAGATTTGATATCCAACTAAGATTTTATCTAAACGTAATAAACTATTCTATATCAAAAATAAAAAGAAAAATAATATCATTTTAATTCAAAAGTAAATACACTATCGTTTAAAAGATTTATCAATGGAGGACTTTAAGATTAAATTTAAAATTTCGTAAGAAAACTAAATACAAATATTTTAAGATTCAGTTTTGTTATAATATTTTCACAAATTTTAAAATATAAAACAAAATATTATTTCAAAATTTCTAAAATACGATATTAGATATTAACAACTATTTATATTTATGATGAAATAAACTCAAATAATAATACATTTAAAGTAATTATCATTATAGCCTTCGTTTAGAACAAGTTTGATAAATATCTAACAGTAGATTGTATATATTAATTTCTAAATTATTTTGCGTTTTATTTTTTGTTTTTCAACCGGATCTTCCTTAAATAAATCTTTAATATATTGCACACAGTTTTCAAATAATGTAAACTAATTATATGTTTTGAATTCAAAACAAATTATGCAGCAATAGCATATACCTTTTAGAGATGTATCTCAAATTTTTATTTTTAGTCCAAAAATCAAATTAATTATGATTAAACAATAAAAAGAAGAATATGAAAAATTTAGCAAAGAAAGAAACATTAATAAATTTGTTAAAATATATTTGTAACTTTAGCAGCAAATATATTAATCTGCAAAACTCACAGTATGTATTGTATGGTATTTAGAAGTAAGCACACCAGAATTTGGAACATGATTTTAATGAAATAAAATGAGAATAGGAATTACGAGACGGGATGAGAGGGGAACATAAATTAAAAATCAAACTAAATACCCAATTGGTATGAGTTCAGGCTATGAGCACTATATAAAATAAATTTGTTTATATTCATAACCATGTACGTAAGTTTTCAGTTACACATATTCTATTTATGCCGAATATTGGACCTTCATATTTTTATTTCACGTATACGAGACAGGTTATGAGACCAAGAATTTATGACAGATACAGGACGGGATAGGTTTCTTATTCTAAAATAGTTTCGTCTAGCTAATATAAATGAAATAACCAAACTCAAACCGAATCTATATCCTATTTAAAACATGTAATCAAACTATTAGAAATGTTTTGATTAGTTTAGAAAATAAAAAAGTAACATCATTTAACTTTTGAAACTAAATTATATCTTAGTTTTGTCTTAAATATAATTTCGCACGTACGTGTAGGTACGGATCTTAAAATATAACTATGCACTAACGCAACTGAATTTCGTTCATTACTCTAATTTTATAATATTTATACTATTATAAAGTTCACTAACACAACAAAATATTTTATATTTTTAAAATCTATATAACAATTTCTATAAAAATATCTCTGCACGTACGTGTGAATCCAGATCTAATACACTAAAATATATATCAAAGAAACAACGAAATAATCTATATTGAATTAAAATTTGTTAGAACTTTTTTAAAAATATGAAATCCCGCACATACGTGCGGGTCATGATCTAGTTAACTATTAACTTGAAGTGATGTCATTAAATATTTTTGTTTTAGATACTCAAATTATCTATAAATGACCCATCACTCAAATTATTTATTCCGTATATTTTGTATATATTAAGATAGGATTAATCGAACAAACTTAATTTTTTTGTGTGTGTTTTTTTTTTTTTTTTTTTACTTGCAGAAGCAATTTAATTCCAGTCTCATCAAATAAACTCTATTATTATCAAATCATAGATTAATTATAATGTTAATTACATATAATATAAATAAATATTAATCCATATAAATAATAATGGAATTAGTCCTGGTCTTTTGGTGTTTTAGAATTTAATTTCTTTATATTATTAACAAATTAAGCAAACCTCTATCCCCCATTTATATTGTTGAGCTGTGTGGAGATGATGATGATAAACCCAATAGAATTTTAAAGGATAAGGATAATCGAAGAGCTCAAATCCCGAAACTTTGAGATCTCATCTCATCTTTCATCAATCTCCGATTTCGATTCAATCGATCTCAAGGGTTCGATATCGACATGGACGCTCGCAAGAGAGGACGCCCTGAAGCTGCTGCCTCCCACAACTCCAATGGCGGATTCAAGAGGTCTAAGCAAGGTTAGTTCTTTCACTCCTTTTTCTTTTCTATTGTCTCCAATTGGGTTTTTAGAATTAGAGATCTTTACAATAAGAGAGTATGTTTTGGTATCACTTAGTTTTGTTCATTTCTTGTGGCTCTGTCTCTCGTAAAGGTTGCTCCTTTCTTCTCATTTGGGCATAATTTGTATGTTGTATTCATTAGAGAGATTAGTCGAAAACCCATTATCTGCTTTAATCTGGATTACCTTTTTATGAGTTGGTTCTACTGTTGGGAGACAATTGATATGGAATTTGTTTCTTGTTCTCCTTTGTGTTGTGTGCTATTGGCTTACCCTTCTTTCATTGGATTCATCAATCCACTCAAGTATAAGCCATTATTAGCCTTTGTGACCACTCAACACACTGGATTTGCTTGATTGATATGTCAACTCAAGGTGTTGGATTTGCTTGATTGATGTATTGATCTATGTCAAATCAAGGTGTTGAGTACAATTTCAAAACTCAATAACCCTGAAAATTTTCAAAAGCAGATAGTACACTGGTGCTAATTCCAAATGATATTTATTGAAAATTTTAGAAAAGTTTAACCAAGTAAAAACACTTAATGTTTTCAACAGAGATGGAATCAATTTCAACTGGTTTAGGAAGCAAATCCAAGCCATGCACTAAATTTTTCAGGTTATAAATCTAATTTTTTCCAGATTGGATCATGAAATTAACAAGTAATATTGTATTAAGTGTGCTAATGAAGTGGATAGTTGTTATACAGGTACGTAGCACTGTTCATCCTTAAACGAGTTAAAAAGTCAATGTAACAAAATGTGATTCCTCCTAAGAATGGATGATAAGCTTATATGGAGAATAATTTTGGAACTGAACTCTACTGGTGAATCTAATATACAAAATCAACCAAAACTTGTCTTTGTAAACAATTTGTTTATTCTTCTTCTGTTTGATGGTAAGGAATCTGTAATTTTGTATATGCAGTAAAACCATTATTATCAGGTAAGGTTCTTCTTGCATTATCCTTGAACCATCCATGAGTCTTTCGTTGCTCAACGTGTTGTTCATCGGTGATGCATTATGGAATATTATCTGTTTTATTACTCTATAAGTTTATGTCATTATTTTTGTACTAAATGCTATAGCTTTTCGAGAAGGTAGCAATAGTGCAGCAACTTGGAGATATGTCGGGTTTTTTTCTTTGTCGGGTTAATTTGCTGATGCATTATGTTTTCTATCGCAGCACTTCTGGATGTCCGTTTGGTGACAATTGTCACTTCTTGCACTATGTACCTGGTGGGTACAATGCTGCAGCGCAGATGACAAATCTCCGACCACCAGTTGCTCAAGTTTCGAGAAATATGCAAGGATTTGGTGGTCCGGGCGGCAGATTCTCAGGGAGAGGAGATCAAGGACCAGGCCCTGTTTCAATCTTTGGTGCTTCTGCTACTTCCAAGATCAGTGTAGATGCTTCTTTAGCCGGTGCCATCATTGGAAAAGGTGGAATCCATTCCAAACAGATATGCCGTCAAACAGGAGCGAAATTATCGATTAAAGATCATGAAAGAGACCCAAACTTGAAAATTATCGAACTAGAAGGAACATTTGAACAGATCAATGTAGCGAGTGGGATGGTCAGAGAGCTCATAGGGAGGCTTGGATCAGCCAAGAAACCTCAAGGGATTGGTGGTCCTGAAGGGAAACCACATCCTGGGAGCAACTACAAGACCAAGATCTGTGACAGGTACTCTAAAGGGAACTGTACATATGGAGATAGATGCCATTTTGCGCATGGTGAAGCTGAGCTGCGCAGGTCAGGAATCGCTTAGTTATGTCTTTAGACTCTTGAGAACAGATTATGCATTGTTGTTAGCTCCATTATCATTGTGACTTTTTGCTCTGTTTAGTTATTTTATCGATTTGTTTTATGCGACTGGCTTTGAAACCTTTTAGACGAGTTCTTTTAGGTTACCAATCACAGTTAAAAGACTTACTATGTTAACCGTTTACAAACTACAGCTTGTTTTGTCGTAAACGGTTAATCGCCGACATCATTCTATGCTGTCAAGCGGCGAACTTTAAAGCCTAACACGCGTCGACATTCTATATCTCTACGACTCAAAGGGTTCCAACACGTGTAAGTCCAATAGCTGAAACACAAAGCCTACCACCTCTTCTTTTATGACACGTCTCTCTGACGTGTCCTCGAGAACGTAATTAAATATTAATCACAATTTTTCGAATTTAATAATTCGTGGCGAACGCAAAGCCTATAATTATGGCACATGCTCGGTGAGCAAAGCATTAAACAAAAAATAATCAGAAGATATCTTTAAAATTTCACAAAGGAAAAGAGAGAGAGAGATTCGGTAATAATGCAGTCGATGAAAGAAACAGCTTCGAATATTGCAGCTTCTGCAAAGTCTGGCATGGACAAAACCAAAGCTACCTTGGAGGAAAAGGTAACATAATTGTGATTATTATTAATTTATCAATCAAACAATATGATTTTTTCTATGATTCGTTTTAATAAAATGGTGTCTTGTTGTTTTTTTTTCAAAAGGCTGAGAAGATGAAGACACGAGACCCTGTTCAGAAACAGATGGCTACACAGGTTAAAGAAGATAAGATCAATCAAGCCGAGATGCAGAAGAGAGAAACGCGTGAGTACAACGCGGCCATGAAAGAAGCGGCTGGAGCTGGAACCGGTTTAGGTTTGGGGACAGCCACTCACTCGACCACTGGACAAGTCGGACATGGCACTGGGACACACCAGATGTCGGCTTTGCCTGGTCACGGAACAGGACAACTGACAGACCGGGTTGTGGAGGGTACGGCTGTGACCGACCCGATCGGAAGGAACACAGGAACTGGTCTGACAACAACTGCTCATAACACCCACGTCGGTCCTGGTCCGTACGGAACCGGCGGGGGATATAGTGGATAAAGGGTGTTGTTCTGTTATTTGCTAATTCGATGCTTTCGTGGTTTTGTGTATTCATGTTGTGTTTTGGGGTCCTTTCTTTATTTTGGTTCTTCTGAATAATTGTAGCCTTGTAGGACTTCGATCTCATCTAGTTTTTGTTCTTTGATGACAGAGTCCTACTTTCTGAGTTGTATGTTCATGCAATGTAACAGTAATAAAATTATCCATTAACAATAATATGCCCATGCAAATTAGAAATAACAAAACATTGCTAACTTTTCGAAGAGAAACATTCGTATTATATTTGAATTGATCTACTACATATCAAATAAATTTACTTCTCTGCACAACGAGTTTGTATACAACATGTACCATGAATCATGGTTTGAAGTTTGCACCATGATGAAGATTCTTAAAATAAACATCTTTTTTTAACGATTAGATGATCACAACCAATATTAATATTTAAGGAGAAACTAACAGAAAGACAGAAAAGACCAAACTTTCTGATTTTTCAGTCCTATACTAACATTACACAACATGGGTTGGCTAATTTTTCTTGGACTCTGCTGCTTGTCAACGAATGTAACGTCGAACACACATCGACGGTCACGACATCGTTCCCAGCTTTGTGATCGATGGTGGTTGAATCATTATTTAGTGTAAGATTTCGCAAGACAAAACAACTAAACAAGCAAGTATGTAACTGTAAATATCCAAAAGCAACCTAAAGATGCACTTAGCTTTTACTTCATGGCTTAGCATATTAAATCTTTTGAGTTTTAATTGTGATTGGTAACTTAAAGAACTCGTCGAATCTTCAGAGCACTACCGAATGGTAAAGTTTTCAAAGCCAGTCGCACAAAACAAATCGATGAAGTAATAAACAGAGCAAAAAGTCACAATGATGATAGAGCTAGCTTTTCCAGAACCCCATTTCTCTCGCCAGATATATATTAGTAGACGGTCAAGTTAATTATTGGATTAGTGATTCTCCCTGCAAGAGCCAGATTCAACAAAGGATTGATGTATTGTCCTCAACAATACACCAACATGCCAATGCCCAATTAAACGAAAGAGTTGGTTAATGAGTTGACTACTTCGGCTCGACAATTAATTCTCAAAGATTAAGTCAAATAAACTGAAAATAGAAATAATATGATTCATACACAAGCAGAGAAAACAACATGTCATGATTCCCGGTTTAGGATAGAGAATAGAGAGAGGGTAAGAAGATGTTTAAGTAGAGAGAGCAGGGAACAAAATGAACATCACAACCAGGCCCGATCCACTAGTATGCAACAATGACTTATGCCATCCAAAGAGATAAAACATATTAGACATTTTTTTTAGGTTTTTTTTTTTTTTTTTGTAAAAAATACAATATTTCTTTTATCATATTTCATGGACTTTAAGCTTTTAAGTTAATAAAATATTAATTAAGCGGTTGTTGATGAATTTTTTAGTAAATTTTTGGTTTAGAAAAAAAACTTAAACTAAAACAATTTTTTTTTTCGTTTTTCTTTTTATATGAATTTAAAATTATATTCACCAAAAAATATTTTTGTACAAAAATTTCTCTTTGATTGATTTCATTTCATCTTCTGTTTACTTGCTAAGGTATATGATTTTAATTAAAAAATAGAAAATTTTACTTTGAATAATTGAATTGAAAAAAAAGTTATTTTTACTATTTTTTATTTTCTTACAAACAGCTTATAGATTTAAAAGCTGCTTTATCTAATTTTAGTATGATTCTTTTATATATTACTATATTATTTGTAATTTTGCAAAAAAAAAGAAAAAGTATAAAGAGCAAGTTTTTTTTGGTAAGAAAAACGCGTTTTCAGACTTTTAGTTCTAAACAAATCAACAAAGAAAAATATGATGTAAGCTCCTTGGTAATACGAACAAAAATTACGTCATCAATATAATTTTAATTTAATTTGTAGACTTTAATTTACACAAATCATATTTTTCACACTTTGATTCAACCACTCTCTCACTCTCTAAGATCAACGAAAGTCTTTTCCTTTTTGCTCCAAAAATCTCACATTTTTTTACTCTCAGTTTTATCTAAAATCTCATATTCAAAATAAAAGAAACAAGACTTTGCTTTTTTTTTCTCAATCTCCGATTCGTTAACTCGTTTTCTCTCTTCACCTGTTTCAAGCTTTTCGATCCAAAAATTCTGATTTTCCCCACCAACAAATCACGAGATTCATCTTTCCGGTCTGGTCTCCGGCGACCTAAAAAGAGTTTATTCTCGTGGTGGAGAGCAAATGAGGGATGTTCTCCTGGTTAGCGAGAATGGCTCTTTTTTGTTTACGACCTATGCGTCGATACGGCCGTATGAACAGAGATGATGATGATGATGATCATGACGGTGACTCTTCCTCCGGTGACTCGCTTCTTTGGTCTAGAGAACTCGAGAGACATTCTTTCGGAGATTTCTCTATGGCTGTTGTGCAAGCTAACGAGGTTATTGAAGATCATAGTCAAGTTGAGACTGGAAACGGTGCCGTTTTTGTCGGAGTCTACGATGGTCATGGTGGTCCTGAAGCTTCTAGATACATCTCTGATCATCTCTTTTCTCATTTGATGAGTTAGTTTCTTTTAATTTTCTTTTTGTGTTCTTGAAGTCAAACAAAGTCCACTTTGAACTCTCTGTGTTCTTCTTTCAAGATTTGGTTATGATGATCGGAAAATTTTGGTAGAAAGTTGAAATCCTTATGCATCTGATGAACAGTGAAGTGAATCCTGACTTTTTTTTTAATATCGATATTTGGTGAGCTACCTACTTTTTATATGAAGATTACAAAACTTTTCTTTTTGGCAGGTTATCTTTGTCTCGGGGTCTCTCTCTGTTTCTGGATTTTGTAGCTTTGTCTTGTTCCTTTTTGGATTAGAATGGTTTTCATTAGCTGCTTCTTGATTATAGTTTTGATCTTTTAGGAGTTTCGAGAGAAAGGAGTTCTATCTCAGAGGAGACTCTGAGAGCTGCATTTTCTGCTACAGAGGAAGGGTTTCTCACGCTTGTGCGAAGGACTTGCGGGTTAAAACCGTTGATTGCAGCTGTTGGGTCTTGTTGTTTGGTTGGAGTTATTTGGAAAGGGACTTTGCTTATCGCTAATGTTGGCGATTCTCGTGCTGTGCTTGGTTCCATGGGTAGTAATAATAATAGGTCAAACAAGATAGTAGCTGAGCAATTGACAAGTGATCACAATGCTGCTTTGGAAGAAGTTAGACAAGAGGTTAGGTCGTTGCATCCGGATGATCCACATATCGTTGTTCTCAAACATGGTGTGTGGCGCATCAAAGGCATCATTCAGGTTTGCAAAACTCTCTAATCACATATCAAAGTGCTGTGACACTACGATAAGAACAAAGCTATGAAGCTGCCATTTTTGTTCCTGTTGACCAAACCAGAGAGACTTTATTAATGAGTAGCTCTTTACATCTTCAAGCAGACCCTCTATGTTATCTTGGCTTATCAAACTATAAGTCATTTTTCATTTGTTCAGGTATCTAGATCAATAGGGGATGCGTACTTAAAGCGCCCAGAGTTCTCTCTTGACCCTTCCTTTCCGCGGTTCCATCTCGCTGAACAGCTACAAAGACCGGTTTTATCACCAGAGCCTTCTGTCTACACAAGAGTCTTACAAACAAGTGACAAGTTTGTGATATTCGCATCAGATGGGCTCTGGGAACAAATGACCAACCAGCAAGCTGTAGAAATAGTGAATAAACACCCTCGTCCTGTACGTGCCACCACCTAAGATTCATAACAGTTAATTCCCAGGTTCTTTCTGCTTTCACTGATGTTATATATATGAATGAAACAAACACAGGGAATAGCTCGAAGGCTGGTGAGAAGAGCGATGACCATAGCTGCGAAGAAGAGAGAGATGAATTACGATGATTTGAAGAAAGTGGAGAGAGGAGTGAGGAGATTCTTTCATGATGATATAACGGTGGTTGTGATATTCATAGACAATGAGCTTCTTATGGTGGAGAAAGCTACTGTTCCTGAATTGTCCATTAAAGGTTTTTCTCATACCGTTGGACCTTCCAAGTTCAGTATCTTCTTCTCTTAGATTTTTTATTTTTTGTACATTTCGTTATTTTACTTACCACAGATATGATAAAAAATGAACACGGATCGATTTTGTACCAACACGTTTGATTTTAGATACAAAATTGTAGGTAAAAAAATCTTTGAACTGCTCATTGGTATCCAATAATCAAAATGTATCCCAATGTTTTCCTATGCATTCTTCATTAACAGACATCCAAAAATCCAAAAGCAGAATCTTACCTCTCTGGATTTCAGTAGGAACAGAGGAAGATACAAACACAGAAATATAGGAACAAAGGAAAATTCAAAAATAACAAATTCACTTTTTTTTAATCAGTAGCACAATCAAATTCTATGCCCCTAAAAAGATAGTTATAAGTAGTATATAACGAAACAAACTCAATTATCAAATAATTCTTGAAGAACACACAAATAAAGATTAATGTCATCGGCCAGTAAGCTCAGTAAGCGAATTAATCTGACTCCCTGTAAGAGAGTAGTCAATGTCACTGAAAGATGGAGGCATTGCTGGCCACACGAAAGCCGGTCTCTCTGTAGGAACATCGGGTGGGCTAGTCTCACCCGTCAAGACCTTCAAAACCGTTTTCATGGAGGGTCTTTGGTTCGGATTCGGGTGGCAGCAAGCGAGTCCTAAGAGCAAAACACTTTTCATTTCTTCTTTATCGAACAAACTTCCCATTCCCGGATCCGCTGCATCCATGATGGTTTCATTTCTGTATAGCTCCCATAGCCAATTCACAATGCTATTGTTGTAATTGCTCTGGTTCTCCTTGACCAAGACATAGCAAGGTTTCTTCCCTGAGACTACTTCGAGCATTAGAACTCCAAACGCATACACATCTGTTTCAACTGTGGCTCTCCCGTTGAGAAAAGTCTCCGGAGCCATGTACCCAGGTGTTCCAGCGATCTCCTTGGTTGAATGGTGTGTCATTTCGCTTTGCTGAATCATCCTCGCAAGCCCGAAATCGCCGAGCTTGGCGTTGAAATCCGAGTCTAGCATTACGTTGCTTGCCTTTATGTCTCTGTGAAGTATCCTCTTCTCACATCCATTGTGAAGATACTCCAAAGCTTGAGATAGCCCTGTTATAATGTTCTTCCTTGTCTCCCATGTTAGGTTTGATCTTGACTTGTTTTCCAAGAAAAGATATTTGTCCAAGCTTCCGTTAGGCATATACTCATAAACCAGAAGATACTCCTTTCTCTCGTAGCACCATCCCAATAATTTCACCAGGTTCCTATGATTCAGATTACCGATCGTTGTGATCTCGGCTATAAACTCTTGCTTCCCTTATCAGAGTTATAGAGTTGACTAAACAGAGCTGACGTTGACTACATGATAGTTAACAGATGGTTAAGTTTAATTTACCTGAGTTAATTAGTTAGTTACAGTGAGATACTTGTATAAATACAGCTATACTTGTACATTGATATTTTACGATGAATAAAACAGAATCTTCTTCTTCTTCTTCAAGCTCGATTCTTGGTTTGTGATATGGTATCAGAGCATTCTTTATCTTCCGTGAAAATAAGCGTTTCTTCTCTGGATCTATTCATCGTCAACATTCTTCTTGCGATTTGCGATTATCTTGTTTCTGTTTCATTTCTTCTTCTGATTCTTTTCGTTTCTCTTTGATTGACCTCGATTGTGATTGATTCTTGTTTCGTTTTCATCACAATTTCTTTGAATCTTCCCGATTTCCACATTGGATATGGGATCGCATAGTTTTTCTTCAAATCCTCCGGATGTTTCTGCTCCGATTCGTTTTTCTAATGAACAAGGTGATAATCCTTACTATCTTCATAAGAGTGATCATGCCGGACTGCAATTAGTCTCCGATCGTCTCACCGGTGGTGTAGATTTTCATTCTTGGCGCCGATCTGTGCGTATGGCACTCAATGTGCGAAATAAGCTTGGTTTTGTGGACGGTACGATTCCGAAACCTTCTGATAATGATCCTAATGCTGGTGCGTGGTCTAGATGTAATGATCTTGTAGCGACTTGGTTAATCAACTCTGTAGCCAAGAATATTAGTCAGAGTCTTTTGTTTATATCGACTGCTGAAGGAATTTGGAAGAGTTTGATGGCTAGATTTAATCAGGATGATGCTACAAGGATCTATGAAATTGAACAAAAGTTATGCACAATACAGCAAGGATCTCGTGATGTTAATGCATACTATACTGAGTTGATTACTTTGTGGGAGAACTATAAGAATTATGTTGAGCTACCAGTGTGTACATGTGGACATTGTGAGTGTAATGCTGCACAATTATGGGAAAAATTGCAACAAAGGAGTCGTGTGACTAAATTTCTAATGGGATTGAATGAAGCTTATGAACCTACCAGGCGTCATATCTTGATGCAGAAGCCAATGCCATCTCTAGAAGCAGCTTTCAACATAGTAGTTCAAGATGAAAGACAGAAATCTATCAATCCTGTAAGTCAAGCTGGTAATGTTGTTTTCCAGACTTCAGGATCATCAGAGTTGGATCAAATGATTGCTTATGCCAATTATAAAGGTAAACCGAAGGTTGTTTGCACTCACTGTGGGATGACAGGACATATGGTTAACAAGTGTTATAAGATACACGGCTATCCTCCTGGTTATATCCCTGGTTTTAAGTCTCAGGCTACTCAGCTATATGGCCAGAGACCACAACAATACTCAGCTCAACAGTACAATACTTATCCAGCTAAACAGGTCAATACTCAACAGTTTCAGCCTAAAGGAAACTTTCAGCAAATGCAGAGGCCATTCCAAGTCAATGCTCAACAATGGAGGCCATCTTTTCCTCAAAAGGATAATGCTATTGCTAATGTCATGATTGAAGCTCCTCCCACAACAGCTCAGGTTACTTACAACAATATTGATTTGAGTTCTTTGACATCGGATCAGGTGCAACAGATAGTGGCACAACTTCAGTCTCTTCATGTTCCAGAACAGTCAACTTCGAATTTGGCTACTATAACAGAAAATGGTGTTATGGCTTGTGAATCTGATTCAGGTACGATTCCATTTCCATCAACCAATTTACAATTCCAAAACAAAATTTTAACCTTTCAAAACCATTGTCTTTCTTCTCTATACTCTTTTATTCCTGTTGGTGCTTGGATTATAGATAGTGGTGCAACCAGTCACGTGTGTTCTGATCTAACATTGTTCAAAGATTTTAAACCCGCAATTGATCAGACAGTATCATTACCAAATGGTGTTAGAGTACCTATTGCACACACTGGCACCATTCATCTTACATCTGCATTGATTCTCTATAATGTTTTGCATATACCATCATTCAATTTTAACTTGATTAGTGTTAGCTCATTAGTGAAAACAAGTTCATGTTCTGCTCATTTTTACTCTGATTCTTGTGTCATTCAGGACCTTACTCAGGGCTTGATGCTTGGAAAGTGTAGTATACTTCAGAATCTTTATGTCCTGACTCAAGCTGATTTACATGCATCTATTGTCTCTGATCATTTCGTTGCATCTATCACTGCTGATGGAAATCTCTGGCATCAACGCCTAGGACATCCTTCTGCAGCAAAACTTCAAAATCTTTCAGAAAAGCTTTCTATTTCTAAGAGTTCTTTACATTCATCATTTCATTGTAATGTTTGTCCTTTGGCAAAACAAAAACGATTACCATTTGAGTTTAATAATAATCTTGCATTAGAACCTTTTGATTTGATTCACCTTGATGTTTGGGGTCCCTTTTCTCATGAAACTAATGAAGGATATAGATATTTCTTGACTATTGTTGATGATTGCACAAGAGTAACATGGATATATCTTTTGAAAATGAAAAGTTCTGTTCTTACTGTTTTTCCAGAATTTTTAAAATTGATAGAAACACAATTTGGTAAGCATGTTAAAGCCATTAGATCAGATAATGCTCCGGAATTGTCATTTACTTCTTTAATCAAATCTAGAGGCATGGTTCATTACTTTTCTTGTGTAGATACACCGCAACAGAACTCTGTTGTAGAACGCAAACATCAGCATTTACTGAATGTTGCAAGATCTTTAATGTTTCAATCGCATGTTCCTGTTGCTTATTGGGGTGAATGTATTCAGACTGCAGTTTTTCTTATTAATAGAACCCCATCTCCTTTACTTGATAACAAATCTCCTTATGAAAAGCTAATGAATAAAGTTCCTGAATATTCTATGCTTCGAGTTTTTGGTTCTTTATGTTATGTTTCTACATTACCTAAACATCGCACAAAGTTTTCTCCTAGAGCAAAACCCTCTGTTTTCTTAGGTTATCCATCTGGTGTAAAAGGTTTTAAGGTTTTAGACTTAGATACTAATCAAGTTTACATTTCCAAAAATGTTGTGTTTCATGAAAATATTTTTCCTTTTGTTGATTTACAAGATTTACAACATGATATTTTTCCTCATACTATTCTACCATTGCCTGTTGCTGATTGTCCTGCATCATCATATTTTCATACTATACCACAGTCATATCCTCCATCAACATCATCATCACCTATTCAGAATGCCCCATCATCATCTCATACTTCTCCAGCATCATCATTAAATTCACCTGTACATACATCATCTTCATCATCGACTCATTCATCATCATCATCTCATAATTCACACTCTAACACCGGAATATCATCACCTACTGTTGATCTTGCTGATTTACCATCTTTGGACCCTGTTAGACCTAAACGCAATGCTAAAGCACCCTCATATCTATCCCAGTACCATTGTTATCTAACCCAAAACACTATCCCAACTCCTATACCATCAACCCGTTATCCATTGTCCTCAGTCTTATCCTATGATCTTCTTGCTCCTGAATTCCAACAATTCATTCTTGCTATTACTCTGGAAACTGAACCACATACTTTCAAACAAGCCATGGCATCTGAATATTGGAAAAATGCATGTAATTCGGAGCTGACTGCTCTTGAGGGACATAAGACCTGGTCTGTTGTTTCCCTTCCTCCTGGTCATAATGTTGTTGGATGTAAATGGGTCTTTACGATCAAATATAATGCAGATGGTACTGTGGAAAGGTACAAAGCTCGCTTAGTTGCTAAGGGGTATACACAAGAAGAAGGTGTGGATTATTTTGATACTTTTTCCCCTGTAGCAAAGCTGACAACAGTGAAGCTTCTTTTAGGTGTTGCTGCTATTAAGAACTGGACTCTCACCCAAATGGATGTATCCAATGCCTTTCTACATGGAGAATTAGATGAAGAGATATATATGAGCTTACCACAGGGATATACTCCACCTGATGGTCAGCCTCTACCTCCTAATGCAGTCTGCAAACTCCATAAGTCCTTGTATGGACTCAAACAAGCTTCACGTCAATGGTATCATCGCTTATCTACTGTTATAATGAATGCTGGATTCAAACAATGCGCTGGTGATCATACTTTATTCACCAGAAAGACAGGATCAGTGTTTCTAGCAGTTTTGGTATACGTTGATGATATTGTTATTGCTAGTAACAATCTAGAAGCTGAGAAGGAATTTAAAGATCTCTTACACAGAGAATTCATGATCAAAGATCTTGGCCCTATGAAGTTTTTTCTTGGCTTGGAAGTTGCAAGGAATAAGAAAGGGATCTCTGTATGTCAGCGGAAGTATGCACTTGACTTGATTGAAGGAGCTGGTTTCTTAGGCTGCAAACCATGTGCTGTTCCAATGGATCTTGTTGTGCAACTCAGTAAAGAAGATGGTGAACTTTTGGCCAATCCTACTGTCTATAGAGAGCTTGTAGGGAAGCTTCTATATCTCACGATTACTAGGCCTGATATTACGTTTGCTGTTCACAAACTGAGCCAGTTTATCTCTTGTCCTACTGGTGTTCATCTAACAGCAGCTCAGAGAGTTGTCAGATACTTGAAATCTAATCCAGGACAGGGCTTATTTTTCCCATCTGATTCTGATCTGAGTCTCAGTGCCTTTGCAGACGCGGATTGGGCAGCTTGTCCAGATTCAAGACGAAGTGTTTCTGGTATTTGTGTCTTCTTAGGTCACTCTCTTATATCCTGGAGATCAAAGAAACAAGAAGTGGCTAGTAGAAGCAGCACTGAGTCAGAATATAGAGCTATGGCTCATGCTACCTGTGAGTTGATTTGGATTGATCAATTACTTAAGGATTTGCAGGTAACTCGTTCTTCTCCTGCAAAGCTTTATTGTGATAACAAATCCGCCTTATACATTGCTTACAATCCGGTCTTCCACGAACGAACGAAACACATAGAGATAGATTGCCATACTACACGGGATCAGATCAAGCGAGGCTTTCTCATTGCTCTACATGTTTCAACACATAATCAACTGGCAGATATACTCACTAAGGCTCTTGGTCCATCACAGTTCCACTCTTTACTCTCCAGAATGTCTATATCAAGTCTTTACTTTCCTCAAAATCCAGGTTAAGACTTGAGGGGGGCGTATCAGAGTTATAGAGTTGACTAAACAGAGCTGACGTTGACTACATGATAGTTAACAGATGGTTAAGTTTAATTTACCTGAGTTAATTAGTTAGTTACAGTGAGATACTTGTATAAATACAGCTATACTTGTACATTGATATTTTACGATGAATAAAACAGAATCTTCTTCTTCTTCTTCAAGCTCGATTCTTGGTTTGTGATATCCCTTGATGCGATTTCTCGGAAACTCGTTTCACAGCTATGTCTCTACCCTGCCATTTCCCCTTAAACACCATCCCAAACCCACCTTGCCCGAGTTTGTTCTCCGCGCCAAAGTTCCCTGTTGCTCTCTTCAGCTCTCTCAGCTTGAACTTCTGCGGATTTGCAGCGCAATTATCTAGCTCAGCTTCTATATCCGGATTTGTTTCCCCTGCCTTTGACCTAGATCTCAAGTACAATGCCCCTAAGAAAGCTCCTATTACAACAACAAACACTATAGGGATAGTGATCCAGAGCCATAACATGTTTCCATCGCCATCGATCTCTGAACCTTCAAACCTCCATGATCTCACACAATTCAGCTCCGTGAAATTGCTTGTTGAAGCGGTAAATCCAACATAAACTGTCTCCGGAAGATAGGCTAAGAGATCTATAGCCCTAGAAAACACTAAGTTCCTCTGTTCAAACACCTCCAAGTTTCTAGAGACATAAACCGATAGATTCTTACCATCATACCGCACATGTGCGGTTAAGTCAACTCCGGAATCGATCTTGATCCCTCGACCACTCAAGGATTCTTGAACAACAGAATTGATGTTGTTCACATTTAGAGCCACATGGTTTCCATCAATATCATCCGGATGGCTCTTCCTTGTGTCGAACTCAACAGAAACGATCCTCGACTCGAGAGTCATGTTTGTCCTTTCATTGACCAGACCGAGCCACATACCTGAGCTGTTCTGAGGAGCGGTCTTCTCGGGTGTGAGAACGAAAGCTAAGCCTTCGCCTCCGGGATCAGTTTTGTTGGAGATGTTAATAACGAAAGTGGTGTTGAAAGTAGCATTCTTATCTTTGCTCCATAGCCTGAAAGGCTTATTGTATAGAGCTCTGCCCGCTTGGTTGGCGATAGAGCCACCAGGCCCACCACTAACATCAGGAGTCACTTGGATTGCTCCAAGGACAATGTATGAGTTGTCTCGGATCAAGTCCAGATCATTGCTCACATTAAACCCAGGGAAATTGAACTCTAAGCACTTCACTTGTGTCTCGAGCTTACAAGCTATAGTTAGAATCAAGAACAGGAGCTTCCACGCAAGAGAAAATCTCATTCTGTGTTTTTTCTTTTGTGTTTTTTTTTGGTTCTGCACATACAATAAATTAAATCTTATATGGTTTTCTTTATGGGTTTGGAAATATATTAAAAATGGCTTCGTCGTCGAGATTAAAGTTTTACTCGGAGAATCTGGTCATAATACGACTGTTTCTAAATTGGAAATTTGGTTTTACATCTTCTTTTATTCAACAACGAAGAGTTGACCTGTCACTAATTTTAACGGGTTGTCGGATAAGTCTTATCTAGCTAATTTGTCAAAATTATGTATTATGATTGTGTTATTTAAACGTTGAAATTACGTGTAAATTAATATTTAAATATAAGTTGAAATCTAGTAATTGTTTTAAAAATAATCTGAAGATTTGATAAATTCTCAAGGGCTTTCGTAATTGAAGCATATTCAAAAACAAATCTTAGAAGTAACCTCTGTATTTGAAAACTCATATTGAAATCTTAAGAGTTTTTTTTTTTTTTGGTCAAAACATCTTGAGAATTAAAAAAAAGAAGAAGATATTTATATGTAACTCATTAATGTTTAAGAGGTTATAATGTAACCAATCAAACCCGAAATGAATGCAAATAACAATGTCTATATATAACTTTTAGTCAATCTTGAGCAGCTATCAGTTTGTTCTTTATTACTACTATATAATATACTATATATAAAACTAACTTTGTAATGAGGTCTTACTTTTCTTTGCACAAGCTAACATGTGAAAATTCATATAAAGCTACAACTTGTTCTTTTTATAGTGACTTCTATCAGGTACTCGCTTGGGGAGGCTCTCGGCAACAAAAAATTATTATCATTTGTTGTTTCAATTCTCAAATTCAACATACGACTAATTAATATAACTATATAAGATAAGATATTTGGACCCTGCTTTGATAACTTCTACACGTTTTGAAAAAAAAAAAAAATCAATGGTACGTGAACTATGCTGAATCACAATAGACGTGTACTGCACATTTTTTTTGTTTTTGAATGAATTTTAAAACATGCTTGACACAATCAGACAAGAAAGACAAACTGTATAAGAGTAAAACATGAAGAAATAAGTTATAGATGAAAAGAAAAACTATAAATGGACATTTTTGCCAGTTTTCGACAAAAGAAATGCTTGAACAACAATTATTGTCTATTACCTTTATAGTAGTAGTATGGGTAAATTTAATGATGATATATTAAGAAGAGTTTGGATGGTCCAAAAGCATAACGAATGATTGGATTAAAACGCACATGGGAGTTGTTGATGACATTCTGAAGTGCAAACCAAATAGAATGAGCTGCAAAGATTTCGAATATTTGGATCCGATCGGCTAAAGCAGTGTAGACGCTTGACCAAAGACAGAAAAGAGGAATAATAATGGAGAAGTTTTAGAAACTTTACATATGTCTAGAGGAAGATGAAGAACTATAATTTCAAGCATTAAGGAAGAATAAATGTTCATCCAAAAAGGAAAAAAACCAGGAAGAATTAAAGCAGTATATATTTGCTTGTAGGAGGAGCAAACGCAAATGACACGGAAACAAGCACTTGTGGCCAACGAGCGTGAGACGTGGACGAAAACGGAGGTGAAAATAGAGATTCAAATAGAGAAATAATGGGATTTTTACCATCCCGAACATGGCTTTTAGGGTTTGACGGTTCCATAAATAAAAATAAAATCTGTAAAATCTAGAAAATGAATGTGAAAATGAATCGTTGCTTATTATGTTTGGGATATTCGGTTTTAGTTGGGTTATTTCTTCACAGTTTCTTTTATCTTTGGTTCTACCTCGTTTGCGGTTGTAGGTCCTTTAGTATGCGACTTTTGAGATCTTAGTTCTGCGACTATTGTTCTCCTCCGACTTTTCCGGTGATTTCGAAAGCTTTACTTTTTGACTTTTGTATCCTATATATCTTGTGTTTTTCATGTATCGGGCTTTAGCTTCCGGAGATTTTTTTTGTTTTCCGCCGGCTTTTGTATATCAAAACCGCATTCCAAAAACATATCTCACCCTTGAATCCCACTTTTGTATTATATAATGAAAAATCTTTCATTGAAAAAAAATATGAATACAAAGAAAACAACCTAATTTGATTCATTAAGTTGTCGAAAATTCCATTCAAACTTTTTTTTAACTCTAAAATGGTATTAACATAATAAAAAATAGCATTTGGAGATTTTCAGATTTTATTAGATTTTTTCCTTATCCTAAATTTACTTAATTTGAGCCTTTGGATGATAGATTTACTATATTCGGATTCTCAATCCTTATCTCTTATCCTTAGTTTTTCTTATATAAGACCTCAGATGCTTGAATCTTTTTTCACACCCCAAAAAACTATAGAAAACAAATCATGTGAGAAATCGATCATTGCATGGGAAAGGTGAAACTTGCTTTGATTGGGAATCAAACCCCTGAATAGCCGGTTTTATGAAGAGAAGAATGGGTTGATGATAAGATCTAATGCACTAAGCATATTGTGTTATATGCATGTTTCTTTGATGTTTTTTCTACCGTGAATAAGTAAGTTGGTGGTCTGGCTAAGGTGGCTAAGTCATATCATTTGACTTAATTTTTTAACGATCGAAAAAGATCACAGTATAGTAGCGTGCATGTCACACAGAATGGAGATTTCATTAGTTTTTTTTAATCAAATCTGTTCATCATCTTTTTGAGATTGGTTTTAATTATGGACTTTTTGATTCCCGATCGAAGCAAGTTTCACTATTTCTTTTGCTATATATGGCCTCCACTGAATATCCAAATTTTAATTTGTATAATTGAATATTCTTGTACCTAAAGATTAATTTGTTAGTATACTTGAAATTTTCCTAATATTAAATTTCTATAGATTTTTTCGAGTTAATTATATATAATCTTATTAATATTTTTCGATGTTCTGGTAAACTTGTAAAATAAAAAACATATGTAGGTTAGAAAATGATATTAGCATTGTTGATCACTATATGTTGTTACTGACTGTCATCTCGGATTTTAGAGAAAATTAATTCAAACATGCCTACAATATTTTAAAGATTGTCAAAATAGTTAGCAAAATATAGGAGAATGTGCCTTTAGTCAAGTGGTTAAGTCCATTTGACTCCGCCTTTCCCACCGGAGTTCGACTCCACTAAATCGCGTTACCCCGCGTAGTAGAGATTGGCTATGGATCGGGTCTTGTCGATCCAAAGATGTCAAAAAAAAAAAAAGTTAGCGAAATAAAAAGTCATTAGAATCATTTAAATATGAACCTATATGTCCCCTCAAAATAGGGCTGTAAAGTGCCCTAACAACTAACAACTCTTTCACATAGTATTATTTACTTTTCGTGGAACGTGACTAAGAAACGAATCTTGTAGACTCAACATTTCTAAACGTTAATGACTAAATTAAACAAACACGCACTACATAAAATCTAGAAGCGCCATCTTTTCTCACTTTTTGACTTGGTAAACAACACGCACCTTGACTAGTAATTATAAGCTTAAGTTAAAATCTGTACATTCATGATCAGGTAAGATTAAATCAGCTTTTATTCTCTATATAATGATTATTAACTAGTTAGATTAATCATAAGTTCAGAATCAATCAGTAAAACGAAAAGCTAATTAATCCAAAACTCTCCAATTTGCAACAACTAATCAATGGCTGTAACAAGATCTTCTTCTACTTGTGATGGTTTCTTCATCATCAGCCTTATTGTTATCGTTTCTTCATTGTTTGGGACATCATCTGCGCAGTTAAACGCAACGTTTTACTCTGGGACGTGCCCTAACGCCTCTGCCATCGTACGCAGCACTATTCAGCAAGCTCTTCAATCCGATGCAAGAATCGGAGCAAGCCTAATCCGCCTTCATTTTCACGACTGCTTTGTTAATGTATAAGAAGCTCTTTAAATAAGCTTCTTGATTTTTACTTTATCATTAAGCCTTCTAAATTTTGTTACACTAAACCGCTACTTTGCTTCTTTACATTGGAAAAGGGTTGCGACGGGTCGCTCTTGCTTGACGATACTGGAAGCACCCAGAGCGAAAAGAACGCTCCTGCCAACGCAAACTCAACTAGAGGATTCAATGTTGTCGATAATATCAAGACTGCCCTCGAGAATGCTTGTCCTGGCATTGTCTCTTGCTCTGACGTTTTAGCTCTTGCATCAGAGGCCTCTGTGTCTTTGGTAATAACACCACTTTCTTCATAAAACATATCAAACACAAAATTACGATACCTAAAGGCCGATCCTGGGCTTGGCGGACCTGTCCACGGGCCTAATCACAGGCCGGGCCGGGCCGGGCCGGATAAAAAATATCCCTAATATTACCTAAAAAGCATGTTTTTAATATTCCTAATCTTGATAACATGTACATGTTTAATCATCTTCTTCAGGCAGGAGGGCCTTCATGGGCTGTGTTATTAGGAAGAAGAGATGGTCTCACTGCAAACTTGTCTGGAGCCAATTCTCTTCCCTCTCCCTTCGAAGGCCTTAACAACATCACATCTAAATTTGTAGCTGTCGGGCTAAATACAACCGATGTAGTAGCCTTGTCTGGTAAATCATCGACATGTTCAATAACTTGCAGCTTAATTCAAACAAAACCCTAATTAGGTCATTTCTGTTGTGGTTCAATATGCATAGGAGCGCATACGTTTGGGCGTGGTCAATGTGTAACGTTCAACAATAGACTATTCAACTTCAACGGGACAGGAAACCCCGACCCGACTCTGAACTCAACACTTCTCAGCAGCCTTCAACAGCTATGTCCTCAAAACGGCAGCGCATCAGGGATCACCAATCTCGATCTGAGCACACCTGATGCGTTCGATAAAAATTACTTCACAAACCTTCAGAGTAACAATGGGCTTCTTCAGTCAGACCAGGAACTGTTCTCCAACAGCGGTTCAGCCACCGTCCCGATTGTTAATTCCTTTGCAAGTAACCAAACTCTGTTTTTTGAGGCGTTTGTTCAGTCTATGATCAAGATGGGGAACATAAGTCCATTGACTGGGAATAGTGGAGAGATTAGACAAGATTGTAAGGTGGTCAATGGACAGTCATCAGCCACTGAAGCAGAGGACATTCAGTTACAATCTGACGGACCAGTGAGTGTAGCAGATATGTAAACAACGATGGGATCAGTTTCACCGTTTGTTTATCATATTATGAATAAATATTACTCCTAGGCTGAATCATTTTTGTGAAAAAATAAGTTTGCTTGGGGAGAAAAAAAGTGAGTGGTATGCTAACTTTCATGGGTTGTGTTTTACATTTGTGAAAATTTTAATATTTTAAAAACTTTATTATGCCTAAATACATGTATACATGTATAACGTCTATCTTTTTGTTACAATCTATCGGATTCAAATCTAAATATCTTGTGTCAC